TCCGATTCCGATAGCCTCTTTTCCATTTCGGTGTTCTCTTTCACCAGTCTATCGCGAGCGTCGATGACCGTTTTGAGTTCTTTACTTAGTTCTGAAATCATTCCTTCGTTGGATTCACCCGACTTCTCCCTCTTTTCGTCGTTAAGAAGTCGTTCGAGTTGTCGGATCTCCTGTCGATGTCTTTCCAGCTCCCGCTTCAACGAATCCGTTTCTTTCGAATCCGTTACATCTGTCTCTTATACACATTTTGTCCACGTTCGAAAGTTGGGACTCAAGATTTGCGCGTTCTCTCTCGGACGTCTTCAGCAGGTCGCGAAGCTTGTCGAGATCTGCCGAACGTCGTTCGGCCGTCGCTTGCCAGGACCTCTTCTCGGCTTGCCATCTTTCAAGGTCCTCCTCGGTCGAAACCGACGTTCGGAATCGGTCGCGAGCTTCAGTTTCTCCAGGAGGGACGCGCACTAGTCAAGAGCCTCTTCCGCTTCGGCCGATCGCGAAATCTTATCGGATTCCAGTTTAGCTATCCGATCGAGATGCTTCTCTTCCCGTTCCTTTAGGGCCGCATGCAACTTACCTGTGTCTCTTCTCAGTTTCGATTCCTTTTCTTTAAGAAAAGATATCTGCGTTCGAAGATTTTCGATCTCGTCCGAGTGGCTCGCCTTCGCCGTTGCAAGTTTCGTTTCAGCGTCCGATTTCTCCCTCTCGAGATCTTCTCGAAGCGATCCGAGTTCCTTGGCGTGGGATTCGTGAGCTTCGTTGCGTGCCTTCTTCAATTCTTCGACACATTCCTTCCACTGCGGGATCTCTTTTTCGATTTTTTCGTGGTTTGCCTTAAGCCTGATCTCGGTTACCTTGGCGGCCGCCAGATCGCGGGACGTCCGTCGCAGGTCGTCTTTCGTCTTTTCTAAAAGAACGGAAAGTTCGGAACTCCGGTCGTCCGCGCATTCTTCGCGCGCTCTCGAGAGGTCCGTTTGCAATGCGGCTATCTCGTCTTTGATAGCGGTCGCCTCGCGTCCCTTGTTAGCGAGCTGCACCCCCAATCTTTTATCTTCCGTCCGTCCCGTTCCTTCCCCTCTTTGAGGACGGCGATCTCGTCTTAGAGACCGGCCGCCTCTCGAATCTTCTTCGCGATCGTAGCGTCCAACTCTTTCATCCTCTTCACGTTTCTTTCAATCTCTTCTTTGTAGGCCGTCATTTGATCGTCCGTCTTACTTCCGTTCCGTTTCATTTTCTCTTCCAGGGTGTCGATCTCGTTCCGCAAGTCGATAGCCGTGAGATCTTTATCGGAAAGCTGCTTTTCCATCCTCCTACTCTTCTTTTCGTTATCATCTTTCAGTGTGGTTAATTTCTCGACATCCTTAATCAGCGAAGACTCCTTTCGGGTGGCCTCAGCCAGCTTTTCCTTAAGATCGGCAATCTCCGTCCGGAGAATATCGGTCCTGTCGGAGTGATCGGTCTTGGCCGTTTCCAGATCTGAGATCGCCTTCGCCTTGTCGGACTCGACGGAAGAACGAAACTCGCGAAGGTTCGCTTCGTGATTCCGTTACGTTAAACCACTCCATCAGACTCTCGACCTCCCTCTCGCTCTCTTCCAACTTCTTCGCCGACCTTCGTTCCCTGTCTTTGGCAGTCTCCACTTCGCGAGTCGCCAATCGCAGATCCTCTTTGATCTTTTCGAGAATCGCCGAACGTCGGGCGTCGCCGTCGCTGCGTTCCTTGGAAGCCGTTGCCACCTTTTCCCTTTCGGCACGAAGTTTGTCTCTGAGGGAGGCGATCTCCTTGTTCGCGTTGGCAGTCCAGCGACCTTTTTCATCCAACCGTTCCTTCAGACTCTCCACCTGCTTCTCGGTCCCTTCCAGCTTCGTCGCCGACCGTCGTTGGAGGTCCTTTGCAGCCGCCGCTTCCCGGTTCGCCAGTCTCAATTCGTCTTTTATCATCTCGAGCGTCACCGAACTTCGGGCGTCGTCGTCGCTGCGTTCCTTCACGGCTGTCGCCACCTTGTCCTTTTCGGCACGAAGTTCGTCTCTGAGAGTGGCGATTTCCTTCTTCAGGTTGGACGTCGCTCGATCTTTGTCCGAAATCA